AATTACAACTGCAATCTGAAGCCATTTCTTGGGTAATAAATTATATTGGCTTTAATGGGCAAAGTATATTTCTGCATTAACTTAGAGCCCCGGTGCATATTTCAACCCGAGAATTTTATTCAAAACAAATGCACCATGGAATGTAAAGGCAGAATGTTGCTGAATATAACTACTGTAATAGGTATGACTGTAATTTTGAGTGTTTGGTGTAAAAATTAATCTATACCATAATGAGATCTTAGCTATAAAGTCTCTGAACTTCGTAAACTCAGGAACATGTGGCAGATATGGATAAAATTAGCTTTTGTTTAATCTGATTTATTTTATGATATCACTCTGAAGTAAGTTATTCTCAATACTTACCCAGTTGGCTCTAATAAATAAGTAAAGAAAGCAAAAATGAACAAAAACAATTTACCCATTCCTCAAGGGAAGTTCATAACTATGAATGAAATATGCACTTAAAATCTATTGCATAGCACTTAGTCTTTAGGCAAGTAATTATTAATTTAAAATTAGCTATTCAGATCTTCAAAATTTTTTGCTAATAATTTTAATGTTATGCACTTGTTCTGCTCCTTAAGGATGGGTTCCTGGACTGTCTACTGAAAGATTCTTTGATTGGTGCTATTTATAAATTAAAGTGAAAATTAATGCTTAATATTTTTTTCAGCTCATCTCCTTTCCTTGATTTAATTTATTCTTGCCCATATTCCTTCTGAAAGCCATGTTTTTCCATCATCTCCATTTGTACTGTCACTTCTCTCTGAGCATCCAAAATGTGACACCAGACAAACAATGCAATATCTGATGAATCAGTGATTAGGTCACTTTGTGCCAGACAGGAGTTTGTTTGTGGAGTAAGACACAATGCTGTGCCATAAATCAAAATTTACCGATGACAATGATTGGGTTCATATGTGAATACAATCTACATATCAATTTTTAATACACGCTTAAGATATATTATTGTAAGTTGACTCCCAAATCAGAAAGAAGGAGCTGCCACTGAGAAGGAAGTAAAGAAACTAGAAAATCTATTGATCTGTTCCTTTATAAGTAATTTGTACAGATATCAAGCTGTTGGGTAACATCAGTGAGAACTGAAACCTCCCCGTATTTCAGTGTTTGCATCCCTGCCCAAGTCTGAGCACAGTAAAAAAAAAAAAAAAGATTTGAGTATCATTAAAGGAGAAATCTACCAAAGTCTTGGCTTTTGATACTAAGAAAGAGTAAATTAAATAGATTCTTGCCTATATCTCAGTGCACTGGTATGGAACAGTGCTTGATTTGAAGAATATACTTAAATATGAAGACTGTGTAGAGAGGAACATTCAAATGCAAGAACAAAAGTGTATTTCATTAATATTATTTTAAAAAATTAAATAAAGTTAGCAAAAATTATATCATTATTTTTTGAGATTAAAGATTAAAAGCTTCTTTAAAGGGTCTAGA